TCAGCAAATTACAGCAATCGAAATGAAATGAATTGGATGAATCCACAACCAAGAACTCAACCAAAACCTCTAAACAGAAACGGAAAACATCAACTTTCTAACTCGAACAACAGCTTCAATAGAAACGATCTCGTTTAAATCAACTCCGCTTTGAGCAAGAACCAGAGAAGGAAAACGGAACCCCCTTTTTTTGAAATTTTCTGATTTTTGAAGCAAACTATGAACAAACGAAAAACTCGAAATTTTTTAGCATTTTTTTAATAGAGAAGAAGACGGAATAACAAATCCAAAAAAAAATCAGAACTCAATCCTCAATCTTTTCTCTCTGTTCTAATATAAGAAATCGATGAGCAATAAAAGAAGAAATCTTTCTCAAATCCTTAAGGAGGTCTAGAGTTATGATTTTCCCTATTGTCGGAATCCTTTCCGCTACGTTTCCTATAAACTTGCCTAAGTTTTCTCTACCGATCATAAGCACTCTGACTGTCGTAACTCTCTCCCGAGTAATTACCACAATTTACTAGGCATATTCTTCCGAATTATGCTAGCTGGCGTTAAGTACGGCTTGGATCGCACCAAGGTTCCGTTATCCCTAATCACACCTTTAAACCCTCCGTATTGATCCCTCATATATTTTAGGAGTGATGTTGTTCAAGAACTACCTAAATATACGCTCTCTCCCGGGTAATACACATTAAATAGGCACAGTCGATTGAGAGCTCTTCAACCAACCACAATATAAACGTAGTTGAACAATTAAAGAAAAAGCTACAACAAATCTATATTAACGTAACAGGAAAATCATCCTCCAATAGGTTCCATCAAAATCCTAGATAACAAATTAGCTATTCATAATAGTATGCAAACAATAGTAGAATTCATAACCAATAATGAAAATAGGAAGAAGGAAGTAAAAAACTCGTAGAAGAATTCTCCGGCTTGCCCCTAGTGTGTTCTTGCCTCCTTAGGTCAAATCTCTCCTCTCCTTAGCCTCATTAGGTCTAGATTATGTCAAAAGTATGCCCCCCCCCCCCACGTCCTCAAAATAGCGTATTTACATGTATTTATACCAAATAGGGTCAGGCCCACACGAAACATCTTTTCCTGCGCATAATAGGAGTCTGGCTCTGTAAATTTGCACAGGCGCGCCGCATGGGGCGGCGTGCCACGCCATGTGCTTGTGGGGAAGTTCAGAGAGCTGATTCTGACAGGCTGTAGGAATTTTCCACAGGCGCGGCACGCCCCGCGCCACGTTATTGGGAATTCGCGAAAATGCAAAACATGAAGTTGTAGTAGCTTTCCAACGATATATTGCGGAGCCCAAACGGAGTTCTGAGCGAAAAGTTATGTGCATTTTACTAGACAATGCGTCGTACGCCCGCTCGATTCTTTGTTTCGTTCTTAATATCATCTATTGATCCCCGAACACGATCCTGGCTTAATTTCTTGGGCTTTTACGCAGACTTCAAAGCTCCAAATCACTGGAATTCATTCTATAATATCTACATAGCTCGGAATCACTCCTACAAGGCATAAAATACACAATTAGTGCAAAACACTAGCGATGAAAGTTCAAACTCAATTAAAGTGCAGTAATTTAGAGTGTAATAAGCGACTAAAATACGTAAGTTTAGCCTATCATCACATGAGTGCCAGCAGATAATATTAGACAAATTCTAAAACATATGTACATAAAATATTTAGTTTGCCGGAGATACCATGAGTTCACATGCCCCATATATTTGCCCATAAATCCGCCCCTGGCCCATAGAGAGATAATTTATCAAGCAGTGATTTTCACTTAGCGTTCTAGCATGATTTGATCCCTAACTCGTAATATTAAGGTCAAGATGCTACCACTTAAACCAACCTCGCCTGTTAAATAAAATTGGGCTTTAATGTTGGCATAACATTGGGAAGCACTTGATCCTTAATTCCTTATTGCTTAATTTGGCAAAAGATTGACTTCGCTACAAGACTAATTAGGTCTTTAATGCCAAATTTAAGCAACAAAGCGACCTCGACTATATTTCACAAGGAAAAACATCTAATCCTTTAACATAAAATATATATCCTATGAGAAATGGAAAAAAGCAAAAAGCCGACTTCGATAAATGTGGTACATTTGTTGTTATATAGGGTATGCAAAAGAATTCAAGGTTTTGATATAATATATGGTCAAACATTTGAGTTTTACTAAACAGTGATATAATACTAGTTTATACCCTTAAGACCAAGAAATCTAGGTGAAAATAGTATGGGTTAGTCAGTTTTCGGACTTGTAATTGAAATATCGCCGGCATTTGTAAAGTCATTGAAAAATAGCTATTATTTTGCTGAAATACGAAAAGTTCCAGCAAAATATGCTGAATTATGGAGTTCCTGCGTATAAATTTCCAGCATATTATATTGGAACTCCAGTACACGGAAAGTTCCAGTATAATATGCTGGACATTGGAGGTCTTACGTTATGAATTTACAGCATATTATGTTGGAACTACTATACACGAAAAGTTCCAGAATAATATACTGGACATTGGAGCTCTTACGTTATGAACTTACAACATATTATGTTGGAATTATTGCACATTATGCTGGAATCTCATATGTAAAAAAAAAAATCGAACTCTAGCATATTATGCTGGAATTTTTCTGGACTTTTAAGGGTGTTTTTGTTCAGATTTTATATTTACGTAAAAAATGGCTAAATTTCGATACTTTTGAAACTGTGACTATTTTTCAATTACCAATTGTAATTCTCGCTATTACTGATTTTTTTCCCTCTGAAATGTAGTGCTTAACCCGCATTTTGGATGGCCCTTAGGCCTTAATCATCATTACACTGTTTGCCATATGAAAGGAAGAAAAAAGAATTACTGAAATTGTAATACTGTACTTAATTAATAGATTGTGAATTCTACGCAACGTAAAAAATAGTAAAACATGTATTGAATTCAACCGGAGTTAGCGGTCACATTTACTGAAAACTTAATAAATAAACAAATAAAAGAAAACTTGAAAAACAAGCTCACGACACACAGTTCCATTTATTACTTCACTAAAAAATCCAAGCCCCTTTTAGAATCTTTGTGTGTTGGTTGTCCAGTGTATATAAATAAGACATATAGGACTCCCATTTTCTATTTATGTGACCATTTTTAGCATTCAAAGAGAGAGAGAGAGAGAGTAGAAATGGAGAGGAGTTTAAGTGTTTCAATGGGAGGAGGATTTGATGATACTTCCAAGTTTGATGATGATGGTCGCCCCAAACGAACTGGTTTGTATCCCTTCACTTTTTTTTCTTCTTCTTTTTTTGCCCTTTGCAAACACTTCTTACTAGATTCCTCTCCATATATATACATTTTTTTAATTCCTCCCGTTCCCCCGTCCCTTGATTTCTCCTTTGATCTCTTTTGTTGAAATTATTGCTCCTTTAATGACTCGAACCTACGACCCTGAAATTTTAGGTGGGATGCTGACCATATAAGCAATCCTTCTTGTCTCTTCATATACATGCATTCTTAGAAAATCTTGAAATTTCTATAAGTCAGATTTTATCATGCAAATCCATAAAAAAGAAACTTTTTCTTTTCTCAGATCATCTTTTTCACATGCATTTATGAAAAATTTTGCAAAATTTCACTCACGAGGCGTCAAGAAGAATCTTCAAACACATAAAAGAGAAAAAAGGACAAGGAGAAAGAAAAAGTAACTAAAAGGATGTAGCTGAAGATTGTTTCAAAAAAGAAACCCCAAAAAAAAAAAGAACCCAAAGAAATGGGAATTAACCAGGTGTATATAAAAAAAATAGGCGAATTCTATGCCTAGTTGAGCAGTGTTATTCGATCCCTGCTATGATGCCTAGATATGAAAGTTGGTTTTGGACAACACCGTTATTTTAAAAAAAGAAAAAATCTAAACATTTTGGCTTATGATTTTCTGCAAAATCTAAGTGAGATTTCTTGCAAAAAGTAAAGTGATTATAATTAATTAATTTCGTGAAATTACAGGAACGGTGTTGACTACAAGTGCCCATATCATAACAGCGGTGATAGGATCAGGAGTTTTATCTTTGGCATGGGCAACAGCACAGTTGGGATGGATAGCAGGACCAGTTGCTCTCGTTGCTTTCTCGGTCATAACTTGGTTCACTTCTCTCCTTCTTGCTGACTGTTATCGCGCCCCTGATGGCTCTCGCAACTACACCTATATGGATGCTGTTCGTTCCCATCTCGGTAAGAGTTTAAAAAATATTTACATAATCGCGAAATTACGGATTGTGTTGTTTTCCTTTCCAATAACGCATCGTGTTATGTTGAATGTATTTATTTTAATTACGTGCTGAGATCAATGTGACATTTATCTTTCAGATGCATGTTTCTCGAGGTAAGAGTTTATACATGTTTTTGAGCTAATAATTAATGATTTCACTTGAGATACTTCTTAGGTTAGATTCGTAACGGCTTAAACAATCAAGTTTGGATTCTTTTTTAGTTGAAGTGATAATGGTCAACGGGAATATTTGACATTGTCTTTGAAATGCATCTTTGGTCAATGGTCATAGATGCGCAAAATCTAACAATTTTGAAGTGTTATTAAAAAACAAAAGAGAGAAAAATAACACTCATTTTTTTTATTTTAATTATGTGACGACGTTTAACCAATGACAAGACATGGGACTAAGAAACAAAATAAAACTTGAGCCGCAATGTGGATCCTAACAAGTTATTTCATTCAAGATAAAATGAAAATAACAAAATTAAATATTGTTAAAATATAAAAATATATTTTAGACCAACAACAACAACAACCCAGTAAAATCTCACTAATAGGGTCTGGGGATATTTTAGACCATAATAAAAAAAGAAAATGTGCCACATTAATCTTTTTAGACCAAAAATCAGGCACGTCAATTTCCCAGGAGAACAAAAAAGAGAAGGGTTGTTGGTTGTGGTCATTAATGACAATTGAGTATTCCTTGCATAAAGCCACTATTAGAGATAAGGATTTCATTAATGATTCACTTATGTATCTTCTTTCGTTATGTTTCTGCCTAGACTTTGCCGCCCCAGTCTCTGCTTCTGACTACAATTTTAACCATTTCTCAATATGAGTTATTGTCCTTTTCTATTTTTTTTAAAAGAATATTTGGATCGACAACGGACAAATCTTAACATGAAGGAGGACATAAAATGTTTTAAAGAGTACGAATAATTACACCGAGTTCATCTAAGTAAAATAAATGCACTCTAAACAGTTGCGTATTTCATGATGAAAAATGGCACGTAAACATACTAAAATACATGTATAACTAAGCAGAAGTGTCGATGATCATGAAAATACATTGTCAACGTCAAGGCGGATCCAGAATTTCAAGAAGATGTGTGCACTATTATAAAGAGGTGAATTTAAAATATATATATATTGGGTTCAGCCTTTAAATATTCTTTCCATGAATCCATTAACATTAAGAAATTATAGGTTAAAATTAATTTTTTTTTTCTTATAAATTTCATGATTCATAACATACTCCCTTCGTTCCAATTTATGTGAACCTGTTTGACTGGGCACGGAGTTTAAGCAAAAATGAAGACTTTTGGAATTTGTGGTCCTAAACAATTCAAAAAGGGGCCAGAGTATTTGTGTGGTTATAAAAATTTCTCATTAAGGGTAGAATTATAAGTTTAAGCTAAATTGTTACCAAATTTAGAAAGGGTTCATTTTTTTTTGGAACGAACCAAAAAGGAAATAGGTTCACATAAACTGGAACAAAAGGAGTATGTAGTTATACTCCAAATCAAAAATACTAAGATCATTGAACCATGCTACATCATCTACTGCTATTAGTTTTAATTATATAAAATTTTGTGATGACAAAGGGAGATTAAGGATTTCAAGGTGTTAGATTTAAGAATGTGAAATGAACAAACCAATAAAAAAATTAAAAAGAAAGAAAAAAAATACTTAATTAAAACGCAAGAGGGGCCACTAGACATACCTAAAACTAATAATTGAACTTCTAATTTCACTTGTAAAGGTGTACCAATAATTATTGAACCATAGGGCTATTGAGCTTGAGTGCATACGTGTATATTTAAATAATGTTAATAATAACCTCATAACACATAGATATTGACCGGTCACTGCCAGGGGAGGATGTAATGTTGTGCCGACGAGTTAATTGAACCTATAATTTTTGACGCGGAGTAAAAATTTATATATAAATATTTATTAAAATTGCAAAAATAGTAGATATTAATCCATAACTTCAAAATTATAATGGATTCATGCTAAAACTCTTAAAAGTTGAACCCATAAAGTTTAAGTCATAGATCCGCCTCTGCCCACCGCTACTAATTGAGTGCTCTACCACTTAGCCGCACTTAGAGCAAGAAGCAATGAACGTTTTTTCTTTTTCTCAAAGAAGTAGTTCAAACACCCCCTTATTAGAGATTTTGCATTGTATAAACAAGAATCAGATTCATCTAAATATTTATTGTGCCGTATTATTTTTTACGGATGCAGGAGGAATGAAAGTCCAGCTATGTGGAATAGCTCAATATAGTAATCTTGTTGGCATAACCATTGGATATGCAATCACCACATCCATCAGCATGGTGTAAGAATATTTTCATAGTACAATTTTTAAAGGCTAATTTATTTAGTACACAATCATAATCATTCATGATTAATTCTATGTTTTTCTTTCAGGGCAATTAAAAGATCCAATTGCTTTCATAAGCATGGTCATGCTGCTGGTTGTCATGAGTCAAACAATCCCTTCATAATTATATTTGGGATTTTCCAAATTATTCTAAGCCAAATCCCAAATTTTCACAAGCTTTCATTTCTCTCCCTCATTGCTGCTGTTATGTCCTTTGCTTACTCTTTCATTGGACTTGGTCTCTCTATTGCCAAGATTGCAAGTTAGTATCATTCCCAACATGTTCTATTCTTATTTTATGCTTTATATTCTATTTACTGACGGTATAAAAAAATTTTACACAGTCAACCTACTGTAAAAGGTGATCTCATAGCGTAAAGAGTTTTTACGGTGTCAGTGTATAAAAACTAAAGCCTTTAATTTTTGACGTTTTTCTTTTTCTTGATGGTTTACAAATGTTTTGAAATTTGACATGGAAGATGATGGAGTAAGTGGAAACACAAGCTTAACAGGAACAAGAATTGGAAAGGAATTGTCAGGCACAGACAAGATGTGGAACACCTTCTCTGCTCTTGGAGATATTGCCTTTGCCTATGCTTTCTCTACTGTTCTTATTGAAATTCAGGCAAAGCATCTTTCTTTTAACAGTCACTAGCTAAGATCAGTTTTCTAATCTTTTTTTCTAGCTACTTAATTATGTTTTGTGATCAACTGACCCAACAGGACACTCTGAAATCCCATCCAAGAGAGAATCAGTACATGAAAAGAGCTAGCTGTATTGGTATCTCTGTGTCAACAATATTTTACATGCTCTGTGGACTAATTGGCTATGCTGCATTTGGAAACAAAGCTCCTGGAAACTTTTTAACAGGATTCGGTTTCTATGAACCTTTCTGGCTTGTTGATTTCGCTAATGTGTGCATTGTGGTTCATCTTGTTGGAGCTTACCAGGTAACATCAAACATAACAAACACGTCTTGTAGTTCTTTTTTTCCCATCTTTTCTTCTACCAGCACAAATACCGGATAAGTCTAGCCAGGTGACTAGGGAATGGATTTGCCTTCGTATTGAAGTGATGAGCTTGGAACAAGGGGCCCTTAGGTAGATGAAAACAATCACATTTTTTATTGTACTGAGATTTGAACCCTGGTCTCCCATGATTTCTGTTCCACTTCATTGACCACTAGGGTATGTAGGCCATACCCTTGGTGCAGACATGACACTTCTAGTTTTTCTCATAACAGATCAGTTTAAATCCTATGTCAAGCTCAGTTTGAAAATATGTTTGCAGGTGTTCTGTCAACCAATATTTGCATTTGTAGAAGGTTGGAGCAAACAGAAATGGCCAGAAAGTAAATTCATAACAAGAGAATACATGATTAACCTTTCACCCTTGGGGCTGTTCCCTTTCAGTTTTTACAGGCTGGTGTGGAGAACTGCATATGTGATACTCACAACCATATTAGCCATGCTATTCCCATTCTTCAACGATTTCGTCGGGCTTCTGGGAGCAGCCTCATTTTGGCCACTCACTGTCTATTTCCCAATTCAGATGTACATTGCACAAGCCAGGATTCCTAAATATTCATTTACCTGGATTTGGTTGAAGATTTTGAGTCTTGTGTGCTTGATTATCTCACTCCTCGCTGCTGCTGGATCTGTTCAAGGCCTTATCAAGTCTCTTCAGAAATTCCAGCTCTTCAAATCTGAGTCTTGAAGTTCCTGTGGCTAATGTTGTATAGAATAAGGAAGGAAGAAAAATTCTCCACCTTTTGAACCTTCCTTCTCTTTTATTTAGTGACATACAGGACAGTTTGCCTTTACTTATTAAAGGCATAAACATTTGTACTATGTTGTAAGACTTATGTCCTAGCTTGGGTTTACAGAATTGCAATAGTTTTCATACAGTTATTACTATGTTGCTATAGGTTTCATTTGGATCCAATGATATGAGATCATACTTTCTTGCAGACAGATAGTATGTTTATATGCATGGGTTTCAACTCCTGGTATTACCCCCTCTGCCCAATAACTACTAGGAGTATTATATTATTTTGAACTTAATTTGACCATTTACAAACAGATTATCTCCCTTTTAAACATTTTCCCTAAACACTTTATAATCTATTCAAACTTTTTACTGTTTTAGTATCCTGCAATTGGGATGAGAAAAGTAGTATTTTAGGACTCTGATGAATACCTTCAATTGATAAAATGATTTGAAACCTATTTCAGAATGAAGTTTTGACATTCAATACAATAACTATGGCATTACAATTTCAAGTGCCATCAAGTACATAGAATCACTCCTATCATTGAACCAAGTGATGTTTCACAAATTGTACGACGAACGCAGAATAACATCAATAAAATTCACCCTTTACTAGTATGTTGTCAGCTTGAAACTAGAAAACTTTATGTCATACTGGTGAGATATATTTCAAGGTCGAATTCTGAGAAGGGAAAATTAACAGCAACTGAGACTTTCATACTCGTCTAACTCGTGGGCTATCATATCAAGCTCCACTTCTAAAGAATTACTGGAGACTTCCCATCAAAGGGATCAAAATACAGAATATACAGTATGTGCTTCGGAATAGGAAATCTTATCTCGTTCTCATTTTTTACAAATTTTACAGTCATAGAAATAAGATTTCTCAGTCAACATGATTATCTTCTAGCTATCACGGTAATGTCCAACCAGAAAATGATAAGGTAAATATACCGGGGATAAGCAATGGAAACCTTTACTTAACACTTGAACGGTCTAACTTCATGAAACAAGCAGCTACTCAATTTAGAGGTGGAGCTGTCTGTGATATCCTCTCTTCTTCGAGTAGTACATAAGGATCAATATATGGTGGTGGACCAAGTCTGTTGCTTGCATCGTGGACAAACTGAGGTCCGAAATACTGCCGAAAGAGAAGGAAGCAGTCAATGGTAAATCAGGAACAAAAATAAAACTAGCAGCTGATCATAATACATCCAAAAGCATAAGAAATGTAAATTAATAGGGTCAAACACGCTTCAAATCTAACCTCCACAAAACCAAATAACACGTGAGGTATGTTCAACTCATGCACCTTTTTAGTTTCTTTTGTTGAATTCTTTTTAGGTATAATTGCTTTTTCCCGGGCTTTCTTGGAGGCCAAAATCATGCCATTTGTGATCCCCAACTTTTATAATATATGTGTAGCAATTCAGATTAGCAGAGACTCATAACATAGTTTGACATTGCAAACTATTAGATTTGTTTGGCCACATTTTGCTAGATATTTTTGCTATAGCTCGTCTTTCTTTTTTTTTTTTTTTGCGCTTTAACTCATCATCTCTAATTTTTTCCTACTCAGAACAAGCATAATACCTCAAAGCAATCATGATATGTTTCACAACTATTAGATAAGTTTATTTATTTTCTGATGAGGTAAAGCCCATCCCCCAAAATTACCCCTAACTAAATAGCCCCTTCACGATATGTGCAAGACTGAAGTAGAGGATGTCAACCAGTTATTTCTTCACTGCACAGTTGTCAGGATGACACACCATCACTATTTTTGGTATTCATTGGGTGACATCATACTCCGTAAAGACAGCTTCTACCAATTGGGGGTTGTGGAAAGTGAAAAAAACAGTTAGGAGCATATGGAAAAAATGACCCCTGCTGGTGTTTTAGACACTATGGAAAGAAAGAAACTACAGATGCTTCTATGGAAAGGCTTTGCAGTTTGCACATTACCCGGCTGAAGTATAGATGTTAGACAAATCTTTTTTGTTGGACAAAACTGAATTATGTTAAAGATGTAATCAGCTAATAGATTCTGTTGGTTCTCTTTATTTTTGTTGAGAGCCTTACACTTTTGTAACTTTGTGCTTTTGCATCTTCTGGATCCCAAAAAAAGGGGCAGATGAACAACTAAACAAGTATCATATAAGAACAAAGATCTGATTTTCTTTTTCTTCGGTGAATTTTTAAAGTCATTCCAGAATATAAATAAGCCAGCCCAAAAGACTTGGTATAGCAGAAAGATAAATACACAAGTTAACTAAGTGCAGTAGCCTCTTTAAAATAAAGACATCAGAAATATGCACACCAAAGATCACCGAAATTAATTACCAGGTAAACAGCAGAGAAGGATGCAATAGTTGCGAGGATCAACGGCCAAAATGCCAAAAAGAATGTTCCCCCAAGAGTAAGCAAAAGTTTTGCCCGCGGAATCAAACCCTACACAACAAACAAATAAAGTTGTCTGATCATTAGTTATAACCCCATTTATAGTGAAATTCAATAATGTCAACTCATGAAAATGTATAAAACAATAAGGTTAATAACTCATCGCACATCTTTCATATGATTGTTTTCTGTAAAGTTGATTACTGCAACTCCTGTCCCAAAATAGTAAGGCTCTACTTTTCCTTTTTGGTAAGTCATACTTCTTAAATAATTTTTTCCTCTATTTTATTCTTTAAAACATATCAAGTCAACAATGCGACAAAAAATTCAAGGTGAAGGGAGAAACTCAATATTATCAGGCCAAGAACCAATGAGAATGCATACTAACAGTGCACGACAATATTGATCATGTGGAACTAAATTCATACAACGTATAAGGAGGAGGAATTATGCCGACCTCAAGGCCTTCACTATTCAGTGCCATAGACTGCTCCCTTTGATTAGTCAAATTTCTTCCAGAATCTGTTGAGAGTGCATTTCTTCGATAGAAGCCTCCATCTTCTTCCCTAGATATTGTCTCCTCGTCTTCTTTGGTGTTTGTGTTTGTCTCCTCAAGCAATGAAGTTGGAGTCATGCCACGTCTTCTCAACTCTTTCATGAACAATGACTCCGGAGGTTCTTCACCTGTGAAGAACCAACATTGGATTTGAGATTCTTCTTTAAAAAATCAAGAGTGTATTCAAGTAAAAGCTACAACACTTTCAAGACGGTGTGAAAATGGAGGCTTCACGATAGTTGAGCGATTGGCTTATGTTCATTAGGCAAGTCAATCCATTCAACCACAACCAATAAAATTCAGAAATTTAAGCCAGAGCTGCTGCTTTTTTTGAAAGACTTGACCATTGTATTTGAATACATTTTCAAGGGATTCAACCTTAAGATATGTAGGGAATTCCCATCAAAAGCTGAAAAGTTCAATCACTACGGAATAGATCTACGGAGATAGCTCACCTAATAGCCCGTCCAATATTTAATTCTACGTTTAACACTTTCCCCTTTTGCCTGAAATATTTCAAATTTTCATTTTTCTCTTAATTACCACGGCCAGGACAATCAATCCATTGAACCTCATAAAGAGAGGCAAATCACCTTTTGCAATCAATTAACTGATACTTCACTTAAACTATCAGTACTTACTTTCTGATCTAGCCACAAGTTATTCAGCCTCTTTTAATTTTCACCAAATCCAATATCTCCAAGAATTGAAGAAAAAATAATGGACTGGAACAGCAAAACTATGCTACAACTGAAATCATGTTACACACACACACAAAATCATATCCAATACCACTAAAAACAAGGATTTTTCCTGATCAAAGGAAAAAAAACAAGGCTTTTTGAAATAAATTTCAAGTTAGAAAGATTACCACTACTACTCTGGTTTCCACTGTCTTGAACTCTACAACAAACCCTAAACTTTGTATCAACAAATGTATTCAAGATTCGATTTTTCCTCTGAAACCTCATACGCAGAAACCTCCTTCGGACCATGGTGCTAAAAACATCAGGATTAGACTGAGAAAATGAGAATGGGGACTTCAATAACTGGAAAGACGCCATTTTTAGATGATCAAATTTCCTCCAAATGAAATTAAAATATTACAATTCCATTACAGAAACTTTAGCTGTAGTAGAAGCTAGAATTCAAGAAGCTTCACTTCATTAGTGAAACGGCGGCAGAGGATTACTGTTTGTCACTCAACCTGTGAGGTGTACCATAGAATTTTTCAGCAATGTGTTGGCAATTTTGTAGCCATAATATAACTAGAGCTGAGCAATTATCATCTGTGTCGCCATCCTAGATAAATTACTTACGCTGCACCCAACCAACCAACCAGCTTTTAAGTCTCCAAAATTGTTGTCATGTATATTCCCTTCTTTATTTTTTTTTTATTTTTATTTTTTAGTATTTCAACTATTGTTGAAGATATTTATTCACTATTTATGGTAACAATTTCACGCCCTATATTTTTGAAAAAGAATGACAGATTTTGAAATATAAGAGGTGCAATCTTTACATAAAATTACTCTAAATGTAATTTTTTTTATTATCTAAGCTATTAATAAAGTGAGGTCAAAAAATCATAGTAAAGAGAGCTGTTTTGATTCTCTACATTAATTCGTAGACATTTCTGAAAATATTTAGTTCGAATTTCAAAACTATGAATTAATTTAGGTTGTTATTGTCTTAAGTCAGAAAATTGATTAGATTGACCAACAAACACCAACAATACAACCAGTGAAATCTCACAATTGAAGTCTGGGTAGGGTAGTGTGTATATAATTTTACTCTTATTTTTGTGAGGTGGAGAGCTTGTTTCCGATAGACCCTCAACTCAAGAAAAGCATAATCCCAACAATCATTAAAAGAATAAACAAAGCAGTAATAATAACAAAAAATACAAGATAACCGAAGCAAGAACTAATAGATAATAATAGAAAACTAAGAACTAAGAAAGTACGGGGTAATACTAAAACTACCCGTATGCCAAAGAGAAACGTGTGTTTGCCTGCCAACTTACTCTCGCCAACAAGCTAAAAATTTAGATAGCCAACTAACAACAACAACAAAAAAAAATTTAATGTAATTCTACAAGTAAAATATGGGAAGGATAGAATATATGCGGACCTTACCCCTACCTTTAAGGAGACTATCAACTGAGCTAATAAGATTCCTCATTAGTATAATATTTACAATTTCCATCTAATAAGTTACTATTATATTTAGATGTGCTCGGAATAAGACCTCACTTTCAAGAAAGGAGAAACGGAGGGCCAGAGATGCAAATATGCACATGTTTCAGTTAATAAATCATGAAAACAAATGGATTAAAATCCAAGCCTTTCAATTTGTTCGACACCGACAAATAAACGAAATATAATTAAGAAATAAAAAGTTTAACAATTGGCTGTATTTGTTTAATTTAATTACCACACAACATAAATCAATTTTGATGATTCCTAATCCTCACCATTACCAATTGCAATTGTTTAGATCTGACTTGTTACGATAAATATCACATTATGGTGGATGTCTACTCTTCTTCCATGATTTTCATCTCAAATGCTTAATAACATATTCAATGACATATTTTGTATGTTTAATGACATATTCCATGACATATTTTCTTCACTTTTTATGCCTATATAAAGACCTTGTAATAGATAGGAAAATACACACAATTGAAGAAGAAATAAGAATCTCTCTTCCTCTCTTTCTATCTATATCTTAGTTTGTTTTGCTTGTTANATCTCTTAGTTTGTTTTGCTTGTTCTATATTGTTATTTTGGGTTATATTTTATAACACGTTATCAGCACGAGGCTCTACCAT